GGGGGGGGGGGGGGGGGGGGGGGGACGACTGCCAGCCCTCTTGTCTTGTGCTTTAAAGGACTAAAGTTTGTTCCCAGCACATCTACCCCTCCCAGGGCCCCATCCCCTACTCCTTGCACTGTCTGAAGATGATATGTTTGCAAAGGAACTTTACAAATTAGGTTTAGACAGTCCTGCAACCTTTCTTCAAAGCTGAAAACAGGCAGAACACTTGGGTGTTTAAGTTCAACACCACACATTCTGAAAGTGCGACAGCACAGAAGGGCAAAGCACACTGAAATCCTAGTTTCTTTCTTCTGAGGCTGGGGTGGAAGGAACAAAAGCTCAGGGTGTCAGTGACCCGCCTCAAGTTACTGAGTGGCTACCCAGAAAGGGCTGAGTTAATCTTCCTTCTTTGATCTCTCCTAGCTCCAAAATAAACAGCTCTGTCAAAACCTCATTCTGAGAGAGCTGAGCCATGCTGAAGACAATTGTGGTATTTGTGATCATTTCTTATCTTTAGGGAACTACTCCAGAATATAAAACTACAACACCTTGTCTTCCAAAGGTTTATTTCAAACCAGTTTAACTGGATAGACTCCTGGATTTTACTCATGTCTGGCAGGTGGATAGGGGTTTTATGATATTCTGAACATTAACTTGGACCCAGTGGATCACATCCTTAATCAAATCCCCTCATATCTTCCCTCCCTCCTCTAGACTTGGCTAAAAAAGATCTGGGTGGTTGTTTGTAACTCACACAAGGAGACAAGGAGCAGTGTGGGGGGGGTGGTGAAAAAAAATCCATCTTCGGTTAAATGCATGTAATACTTTTATTATTCCCTAAAAAGCTGTATAGTGGAAAACAGAGCCACCCAAAATGCCAAGCTAAACCACAGACAGTAATCTCTGATAACTGAGTAATCCTATTTCCCTTAATCTGAGGATATGGCTTGATAATAAAAATTTCGGGATTATATTTTTCTGGGTCTTTTCTTTTGTGTACATGAGAATCATTCAGTAGATGAATTCTCTACTGGCAGATTTTCCATGTTAGCCATCACTGATAGTTTCTAATGACACTCAGGCTAATTCTTTGCTTTGTTGACATGAGGTGCTTTCTATGTTCACTTTCTTTGGTAGTTAGAAAATATTTGACTCAATAAGCATTTTACCTCTTCCCTAGTCTCTTGAAGATTTGAGAAAAGGCAACAAACAATTCTATTGTGCCTGGTACTTTACCCAAATTTACAAAATCATTATCAAGTATTGAGGGCAATTATTAATGACTTGGAATTGCAATGTGTCCCCAAATGCTCAAGTGATAAGGGCTTTGTTCCCAATGCAGCAGATTTCAGAGAATTTGAGAAAGTGACTAGATCACAAGGGCTCTGTCTTTCTGGATGTATGAATCCACTGATAAGTTTCTAAGTTGACTGGAAAGTGATGGAAATGTAGAGGTGAGATCTAGTTGAAGGGAGTTATCTCTAATACATCTCTTCTTCCCCTGCCTCCCTTCCCTCCCTCCCTTCCTCCTCTCTCTCACTGTCCCTCTGTGTTTCTTGTTTACACAAGGTTTGTTCATTACACAGTTCCCGTGATGTTTTGCCTTATCATAGGCCCTAAACAATGATGCAATGACCACAGGCTGAAATTTCTGAAATCATGAACCAAAATGTACCTTTCCACCTTTAAGTTGTTTTTCTCGGATATTTTGTCATAGCAATGGAAGGCTAACTAACACAACAGTCAAAGGGAATGAGAGAAGAATGTTCAGGGGCTTTAAAGTTAGCCTTCCTTGTTTTTTTTCATCTATTTTATTTAATGTAAAATATCAGACACTCTGCACCACCCCATATTTGCACACGTGTTCTCTAGTGTGCCTCCCTTACACATTCAAATATAAAGCTAAAAACATTCCAGAACAATATTTAGGTAATGTTTAAGATTTTAAGAAAATTCTGGAGAATTAAGAAATATTTTTTTAATGTCGTTGAACACTGACTTTAAGAGATCACACCAAAGCTGACCTGGCCCAAAGCTGGTGATCTGAGGGTTAAGAAAACATTACTAGATAAAATTTCAAAAACCTGTTCTTGCTCTCAACTCCAAAACAAAGGTCCAAGGAGGTAAGAGCTTCTGTAGAACACACGTTCCTACTCCAGGGTAGCTGACACCGAAAGCATATGGACTTTTACTTATGCTTACAGGTGCGTAGGGAACGAGATATGCAACTGAGTATTACTGGCAGGTTGATGATATGCATGTGTGAAGCTACATTCAACAATAAACATTCCAAGGAATTAGTGGTATATTATTTAATCATATAAAGTGAAATTTACTCTTTTGGATACATGATACTCTTTGGTGTCTGGTTTGTAAGAACAAGTAAAAAGTTTGACAAAGAATCTATACTTTTCCCTAAAATCAGTCAGTTCAACACTATCCATTCAGGAAGGACAAGGTAGAAAATTGCTGGAGCTATATTTACTTAGTGAGCCATCTGATCATGGTACCCACCAGAGATGCTGAAGGAGATTGGAGAAAGCATAGAAACATTTCCAATGCCCTTAACTCCTGACATTGCTACTTCTGGGATCCTAATTCTGGATATGCTGTCCACTGGAACAGCCTTAATTTGGATATAAAGTATATCACGATCCTAATTCTATTCTTTCATTAGCTCTTACTAAAGCACAAGTTTACAAAAAGATAGCTAGCTATCTCTCCTCACCTGATTGGTCATGACTCTACATTCCACCTCACTAGTCATGCTAGGGAGCAAGGTGGCCAAGCCAACAATATGGCTGATTGTTGAGAGAGCGAAGATTAGGATAGCTAGGCTAGAAACAAGATGAAGAAGTTGGGTTTTACTCCTGTTACCACTGAGCTATACCTGGGCAGTGCAAAGCACTGGTGCTATTCCTATCCAACAATAAAGGGTATAGGTTGCAGACGAACTTTATAAATGAGGAATTTTAAATTTTAAGAGATTTTTGCTTCTATAAAATGGGAGAGAAAAAGAAGTCCTCAGAGCTGTAATATAACATTGTCCAATGAAAACAAAGATTACAAATTCAGGTACAAGATATTTTAAATAGCAGAACACTTAGGAAACACAACAATTTTAGAAAAATGCAGCCCTTTAATGTTCATGTTAATATTCATAGGTCAACTTGAATTAAACAACTATTTTAGAGGTTGTAGGAAATCTGCCTACACAAAAAAGATAAGAATACTTACTGTAATGAGTATCAACTCCATACAGAATGAGGCTTTTTCAAAATTCATGATGGTTGAAAACAGTTTATTTTAGTAAATAATGAAAATACTCCAATCGTATTAATTTACTTAACACAAGCTCTTTATCAGAGCTTTCAAAATTGTTTAGATCTTATCCAGATAGCTGCATTATGAGTTAACTGTCAAATTATAAGCTTTCTATTAGCTCAATTTTTAACATGGTAATCATCACTATTTTCTGTTTTATTAATTTTTTTTTTGGATAGGGTCTTCCTAGTCCCAGCCCTTCTGGAACTCACTACCAGGCTGGCCTTGATCTCACAGAGATCTGCCTGCCTCTGACTCCTGAGGGCTGGGATTAAAGGTGCGCACCACCACGCCCAGTGTTATTAATTATTCTTTACAATGCTAAGTGACAGTTTAGATAGGGATAAAATGAATGAGAAACTGAAGCCAAGCATTTATAATAAATATTTATCAATAACTGAGTGCCAAGTAGATACTATGCATCATCTTATTCTCCACGAAAACTGTCATCCTTCCAATAATTTATACGGTGGGTACTAGTATTATTTACAGACAAAGAAACTGGGGCTCATAAGAGTTCCCTAAACCCAGGCAAACCAGGCTTTCTTCTAGTCCCCAAACCATGTTCTTTCTTACTAAGTCACCTATTTGGGATAAAATACATAGAAATCAGGAATGAATAGGCAACACTTTAAGTTACCCCCCTTTCTGTACCTACGTAATTCATCCACCCAATGGAAAATACTCATTTTATGACAACAGAAGTGCTTTTATCTTATGTGCCTCCTTTGAAGTTGTGGATTCCCATTTATTTGTAATAAAGAGAAATTCTGTTTAAGAGGTAAGAGCTGAAGAGATGGCTCAGCAGTTAAGAGTACTGGCTGTTCTTGCAGAGGACCCAGGTTCAATCCTCAGCACCCACATGGCAGCTCTGGGGGATTTAACGTCCTCTTCTGGTCTCCATGGGTAATGCACAATACAGGTGCACTTACACACTTGTAGGCAAAAGTCATACACATATTTTTAAAAATGTAAAATTAAGAGGTAAAAAGTATATCTTCTGGGTAAAATTGTATAGATCTGCAGGGTCTTTAAAAGTTCCAACAGCACAATTTACCTGGTTGTTGTTAGTTTTCAATAATGGTGGTGGAGGTTCATGATGTAGGGGTGAAGAAGCAGAACTGCTTTCACTATCACTGCCATCACTCAAGCTGACCCTGAAGAGAAACACTGAACAGTTATATGCATCACTACAGACAGACAACAGTCAAATAACCATGAAAATAGGCATGAAAAGCAAGGAACACTGCCCATTGAAAAGCTGGTTTTAATATATAATTTTGACACGTACTGGCACTTGTTTTGTATCTGGACTCATGTCAGGTGTTCACCTGCTAGTTCTTTTCTAATGATCTCCAACTTCATAAGCGAATAAACTGGGACTCAGAAAATTGGGTCTCTCAGCTGGGGTTAGAGGTAAAATGGAGGCTCTAGAATTCAAAGCCAAGAAATACGACCCAAAGCTAGTGTTCAGCCACAGCCACTGCACTGGACTGATGTGGGAAGTCTAACATTCTAGAACCAACATTCATTATTTCTAAAGTGTCATGATTCAATATCTCTGCTACTGAGCATAGATATATAATTTATTGGAAACACAGTACACAAACTATATTTCAGATAATTGTTTTAGAAAAATATCTTTCAACATCTAAAGACAATAAAAACACCATCCTCTCCCTACTTATTTTTTTCTTCTGAGAATAAAACCGAACTTTTTTTCCTAGAGAGGAAATGGTTTTTCACTCCACTCTTCTGAATATATGTGCTCCTTCAGAAAGGGGCTTCAGTGTTCGCTCCCATCTCTGGTTATACTGTAACTTAATATAATGTTCTTCTCAGAGACAGAGAATGCTATAGAAATCAGGAAAGTTTTATTTTCACTCTGAATAGGCAATCAAATCCTAGCTCTATTATATATTTAGACAGTCATGATAGGAAACGAAAAGGATACATCAGAACATCCTTTTAGCAAACCAATAGAACTTGTTTTTCTTAACTATAAATTACATTAATGAAGTGCTCTGTTGAAGCACTGCTTTCAAACGCTTCTCAACTGAAGTGGAAAGCTGAGTATTTACACTGATTAAACAGTTGAGACTGCACAAGTGCTCTAAAGATCAAATGTTACACGGAGCTGCCATGCAGAGTGGAAAAGAAAACTGTCCCTAATGTACATTCACATGAGACAACTCACAAATCAGTAAAATATGTGATCTCTGGATGACCCAGGCTGACTCTGGATGGGGCAGAAAATGAGTAGGTAACAAACAGCTAATCTGGATGTTATAAACAATAACTTGGAAAACAATACAGAGCATGTATTTTTCTTTTTTAAAAAATATTTTATAGCTGGGCGTGGTGGTGCACACCTTTAATCCCAGCACTCAGGAGGCAGAGGCAGGCGGATCTCTGTGAGTTCAAGGCCAGCCTGGTTTACATAGTGAGTTCCAGGACAGCTGGGGCTACAGGGAGACCCTGTCTCAAAAAGACCAAAAATTACATATATATTTTATTTATTATTTTTATTTTATGTGTATACAAGAGTTTATTACCTGCATGTATGTAACTATGGCCATGTCATGCATGCAATGCCCATGCAGCTCAGAAGAGGCTGTCAGGTCCCCTGGAACTGGAATTACAGTTTTTAGCCACCATGTATGTGGGTTCTGGGAACAGAATCCAGGTCCTCTGCAAAAGCAGCCAGTGCTCTTAACTGCTGGGCCATTTCCCCAGCCCCATATTTTTCTATTTAATTAGCTAAACTGGAGAGCAGACAGTGGTTGGGATTTTGGTTGATCTAAATTAGTTCTTTAACTCCAAGTTTCAGCCCATTTTTTTTTAGGTCCTTTTGCCTTACCAATTTCCTTCTTATAGGATCACAGAGGGCAACATTACAAGGCCCAGGCTTTAAGGGTCCTATAAAGGTAGTACAGGTAGGTGTATTGGGGAGACCAAAGATGTCTTGAGTCTGACTATAAGTAGTCATAGAAGGATCTGGTATGGTTTACATTCTCTGAAAGGGCAGCTCTTCTCAAGGACACCAGGGAATTACCAGTTAAGTAGTATACAGATTGTCCATTCTTCTTAGGTATTTCAGGGCTATCTACATAGTAATGGATAATGGGGAAACATTTACTGCAATATATTATAAATATAATTGGATTTGAAGTTCAAGTAGATTGATATTTTTCTACTTAAAACACATTAGAGTAAGCATGCCTATTTGTTTTCCTCATGATAAAAAAATGAAATCCTCATGGCAATTTCAAGTTGACTATTAATTATAAGTGACATGAATCTTATAATGTGGAATTATGCCTCTCAGCATTAAAGCTACGTAAGGAATCTAATTGTCAGCATACTTACAAGGAATTTATTTTCTAGAAAACACACACAAGTGAACCTAGTTTTAATTAGGTCATACATATAATTGACGAGCCAATTATGTATATCTAACTACAAACAGCAGTTTCTTCACATGCTGAACCTCCCACAGGCAAGTCTATACCAACTCTGCAGATGAATATGACTCATGGCATATACTTTCAAATAACATGGACCTCTAATATAGCTTCTTCCTATAAAGGTTTTAGAAGAAAACCCCTCTTCTTTCTAGAAAAAGGGAAAATGGTTTCCTGTAAAAGTGAATGTAAGCACACCAGTTTCAAATTAATTCAACTATTTGTTCCCCTTCCCTGTTTTGAGATGGTAGGAGGGTGCCATGCACAGTGGCTCAAAGTTTGATATGTAAGTGAGGGTAATCTTAAACTTCTTATCCTCCTGCCTCTACCTCCAAGTACTGGGATTATAGGTAATGTGCCACCATACCCAGTTTATGCAATGCTGGGAATTGAACCCAGGGCTTTTAGCATAAGTAGGCAAACACTCTACCAATTGAGCTATAACTCATTCACATTTGCTGCCACTGTTTACAGTATTTCAAACATTTGTAATTCACCAGTAAGCTGGTGAAAAGGTATGGCTCCACTGCTGGGTCTCTCTCTCTCTCTCTCTCTTTCTCTCTCTCTTCCCCCCCACTCACCTGCGACTTCGGCTGCCCCCTCTATTTATAGGTCGCTCCATTTCAGAGTCATTGTCATTATCCTCTGCCTCATCAGATTCCTCCTCATTGTCGTCTGAATGCAGATCTTTCATGATAGACCTTAAAGGACCTGAGTGATGACAGTGAACCACAGCAATCAAACCAACACCTCAAACACACTTCACCATATTAGACACCGGAGAATACTTGCCAGCAGTGACCACTGGCTAAGAATAATCATTATTCTGTATAGTTATATGACTTAGCAACCAAATTCAGGACAGTATCTAGAATGTAATAACTACTCAATACTATTATTCACCATAGACTCCCCCACATGTTTATTAAAGAACTTCTATTTTATAGGACTTTTTTCCTGTATATTTTGCTAAATTAATCCATGTACTGAAAAGCTGCAATTAATAAACCACTGTGGATGTAGCTCATTCTTGGTAATGTAGCCTTTGTGTGGTAGTTTTTGATCTATTAAAGTTTAGCTGTTTCTTTTATTTCAAGGTCAATTTCAGGTCAAGCAAGTCAAGTTTAGATTATAAAGTATTTCAATTCCATGGTGTAATGACCCATCTCTGATCTTCCCATTGATCTTGAACAGCAAGTCTTGTTACAACAATTTTATATAGCCAATTTGCATGTTACTTTTTAAGAAATTCCTGGCAAAATATCAGCATGTATTAACATAAATATGACCATGTAATAAAGCAAGTACCCAGAAAATTCAAGACCATATCCAGTATTAGAGAGAGAAAAAAAGAGTTAAACCCACTTTATTTTAGGACCAGACAAACCTGAAAACACACATACATTCATTTTGAGGATCACCCCTCCATCTTACTACTCTAAATATGATGAAAATAAAATAGGTATTTTTAATTTTGGCAAAAGAACACGTAAGGCAATCAAGAAAATGCAAGAGGTATTTTCATTTGGGATCTATGATAGGAATCTGAGCTATCACTAAGTACTCAGTTCTAAAATATTCCCTACAATTTCGCATTCTGCAAACGTGGATTTCTCTGCTTTAATTTATGGTCTTATTCTTTGAAAGTTAATGAAACAAGATTTCTGAATAGCCACATATTTTCTTGGAAGCTTAGCCTTAGCCCAATACAGTCACCAATTTAATCTCTTTTTAAAACACACAAGGTCACTTGAAATTCTGTGTGGCTAAGGAGAATAGTGATGTTCACTATGATACTAGAAAACAAATTATTCACTGACACTCTTTCATTCCACATATTTTCTTGGAAGCTTAGCCTTAGCCCAATACAGTCACCAATTTAATCTCTTTTTAAAACACACAAGGTCACTTGAAATTCTGTGTGGCTAAGGAGAATAGTGATGTTCACTATGATACTAGAAAACAAATTATTCACTGACCCTCTTTCATTATGTAAAAATAAAACAGAGCCCACATTTGAAGATTTTTATATATACATGGAAAATATAATTTGATATATGTTCTAGTTTAATTTAGTCAGTGTACTGGTTAACATCTGATCATGAATAGTGAAAAACAAATTTAAAATACAGAAAATGCACTTTTTCTTTTAAAAAGTCCTATTAAAATGTAGAAAAACAAATGAGAGATATCTGGAGAGGAAGTATGCGAGCATATTGCTCTGTCAGTGCCTCCGAAGTCAGGTTCAGTTAGCTAGAGTATTTCCTTAGGGAACTCCCTGGAATGGGCTGTGTCTATAATCTGTTTGTGAAATGAGAATAATATGATGGCAGGGACTGGAAAAGGGGGAATTTCTAGAACCTGGCCTCATATGTCAGAATAATACTCAAGTGCATTCCTGGGGGAAATAAATACAACTGCATAAAAGTCAAGTTACCATTCAAAATAATAAAACAGTAGAAGATAGGTCATAAATAAACTCATTAAGATATTTTATAGGAAAAATGTCACATTGTTTGCCTGGGAGCTGCTGATACCTTGTTGCCTGGTCTGGGACGGCGTGAAGCTGGAGCTAGAGCTGGAGCTGGAGCTGGCAGGACTGGGTTGTTCCGACTTTAGAGAAGAAGAAAAAGGCATCATCAATAAATTTATGAGACGCTACACATTGAAAATGAAAATAATCTTGCTGTTTAAAGCAGCCTCTACAAAAAAGTCTAATGTTATGCAAGGAAAATGACTACACTTAACACTGTCAAAAAAAACTAACACAGGAGAGTCTTTATGCTTTGACCACCTTACTTTTTATTAGATTAAATAACACATACAAACTCTTAATAACAAGAGATAAACCCCTGGGTGTTACATGAAGGAAGAACCTGGGTTTGATTTTACTCCTGACTACTGATATGCATATCTCTTCCTAAGTGATACCTTGATAGCCCTTTCTACAATGTTTGATTCACTCAACTGTGTAAAACATAGTAATAATGAGACCAAGGTCTTTAGTTCAATCACATTATGAGCCAGTTAATTTCACTCTGGTCCAAGGTCATGACCCAATCCTAACCCTATTCACCCATAGTTCAAAAATGGAGGCCAATGTTTTGCAGACCCAGCCAAGTCCCACAAATGAGTCAGGCAAAAATGTTGCTATTATTATTATTATTATTATTATTGGGCCTTTTTGAGACAGGGTCTCTCTGTAGCGCAGTTGGCTGGTAACTTGCTATGTAGACTACGCTGGCCTCAAACTCATAAAGATCAGTCTGCCTCTGCCTCTGCCTCCCATGTGCTGGGAATTAAGGCATATGCCACTATGGCATTATTTATTTTTTTAAAGGAAAATGTCAGTTTTTACAAGAGATATCATAATAGGCAAAGGTAGCTAACATCAGATACATGGAAAGAAATGTGCAAAGACATGGACCATACCATTAATGCATCTTAAGGCTAAGTTCATTCTTAAATAGCTTAACATTTGGCTCTAAGAGTGAACCATTTCTACCTATTTTTTAAAGTAATTAATATTTTTTTATTTGTACAAGTGGTTTGATTGCTAGTATGTTTGCTGGTATGTATGTAGTGCCCACACAAGCTAGAAAGGGAGACAGAGTCCCCATGTGGGTGCTGAGAGTTGAACCTGGGGCCTCTGGAAGAACAGCAAGTGAGAGCAACAGCCTCCATTGGGGTGCTGAGAACCAAACCCAGGTCCTCTGGAAGAATAACAAGTGCTCTTAATCCCTGAGCTGTCTCTCCAGCCCCATGTACCTATTTCTAATGTGTTCATATTTTCAACTACATGTTCGTTACTTTGGAAATATGTGAGGTCTTCCCATGTAAGGACATGCTATTTTTTCTTTGCCAAATGAATAACCAACCTAGAGCATGCACCATAAGCACCACCAGAAGCCACTAAGTGAGGATGAGACTCTAGTTTATGCCAGCTTCTCACTGTTCTTTTCATCTCCCCTTCCTGCAAAGGACTCCCACCCTTCTTCCTAAGCAGCACGAAGCTCCACCAACTGGGACACAAGGAAGCACTTTGGGACATTCCTGATGCACACTTCACATCCTCAGGCTGGACGGGAAAACAGGTGTCAACAATCTACCACTCATTCTCAGGAAAGCAGCCAGACAGGATCTCTAATGAGAAGCAGGCAGCCCACCAACCCTTCACTACTGCCAGATTTACTTGAGAACCGTACAATGTCCTACATACTGCTGTTTGCAGGTTACGAAGCAGAGTTAATTTACAAGCCCAAATGCCTGTGTGAGGCAGTTTTCATTTCAACTGAATGGCTCTGGCTCTTCTACAGTTGAGCCTCAATGGGAAAAGGACATTCATTTAGCATTTATGTGAAATACCCAGCTGTAAAACAGCTCTCCCAGTGCCCAACGCGTACTCAGTTTCCTCTCCAAGCTGCTCTTTTCAGGCATGAAAAGTGTCTGAAAATGTGCAAATGGTATTATTTTGATAGTTCTGGAAACCATTTGGGAAAAAAAATAAAGAAATTTCCTTACAGAGAAGTGAGAGCTTCAAATCCCCATCCTGCCTAACCAGTACATGTTGCACTGGACTTAAAGGAGCATTCTGCCAGAACTATTTGCTGAGAACAATATTAACTAGAAATAATAAGGGAAGGCAGTGGCCATCCCACCAACAACCCACCACTGAATTTGACTTTTTTGTCTTAAGTGTTATGCAGACTCCAACACCAAACTGCAATTTTTAGCATCTTACTCATAAACCTGGTTAATATTTCAACAATTGCCAATTACCTGAAAACAGATAAGTAGTAAAGAATAATATAATGGGAGAAAAAGGCTATATTTAAGATTATTTTTACTATTTTCAATAATGTGCTTCAGAGGATGACGCTTCTGGCCTATGTAGACTCCTGCACTCATGTCCACAGACAGGTAGGCAGGTACCCGCACGCGCACGCGTGCACACACACACACAAACTTAAAAATCAAATCTTTTCAGCCAGGCGTGGTAGTGCACGCCTTTAATCCCAGCACCTGGGAGGCAGAGGCAAGTGGATCTCTGAGAGTTCAAGGCCAGCCTGGTCTACATAGTGAGTTCCAGGACAGCTGGGGCTACAGGGAGACCCTGTCTCAGAAGACCAAAAATAAATAAATAAATTGATTAAATTAAATAAAATCTTTTCTACAAGATCTGTGTGTGTGTGTGTGTGTGTGTGTGTGTGTGTGTGTGTGTGTGTTTTAAAGCTAGTCATGACAGTAGGAGTTGTAATCACAACACTGGAGACAACAGATCCCTGGGGGCTTGCTGGCCAGCTAATCTAACCTATTCAGTGAGCTCCAAGCTAATGAAAGACTCTGTTTCAAAAAACAAGGTGAGTGGTGAGAGAGGAGTGACAGCCAAGGCTGTCCTCTGGCCTCCACACGCATTTGCACATGCTCACATACAAAATAAATTATGAGAAAATCAGAAGTGTTTATCTATCTATAGATAGTATTCTGGTATGTATCTCAATGTGTTTTTCAAGAAGGTATTCTGACAGAACCTGGTTATTACTCAAACACTTTATGAAGCATGTTCTTTCATGCTATGGTGGATGGACCTTAAACACAGACTGAGTACCACAAAATTCATCCTGACGTTAACCATTCAAAAGCCCTTTTGCTACCAGAAGAGGTTAACACTATCTTCAATTCTGACAAAAGAACTGTAGTTTAAGTGTATTTTTAAGAAAATCACATCCATTATAAACATAAACCAAAAGTAGTAATATAAACTACTGATTATTTCCTTTATCAAAAAGAAAAATCCTGGGGCCGGAGAGATGGCTCAGTGGTTAAGAACACTGTCTGTTCTTGCAGAAGACCCAGGTTTGAATCCTAGCACCCACATGGCAGCTAACAACGGTTCGTAATTCCAGTTCCAGGGTATCCAACAGCCTCTTCTGACCTGCGCGAACATTGCACAACACGGATGCACTTAACCAGAAAAATCCTTAAGAGGGCTGGATTAAGAGTTTTACAGGCCCTCAAGATTGACAAGCTACAGTAGCCTCCTTTCTTAACTTTATCTTCTAAGAGACTTTAAAAATTTTTATATTCCTTTGTGTGCACATGAATCTATGAACAATATACCAAAAGTTAATATTGAAATTCTCCTGCTGAAAAAAATGGTTTTTTGTTATTGTTGATGATATTCTTGTTTATCAATAGTAACTAATCCATTTGTCCACTCACAATACAGTTATTTATATATAGTAGGCCTAAAACAAGGCATATCATCATTACTTGTGATTTATGTATATAAATTTACCATGACTGGAAATGGGCTCATCAGCATTAAGTGGCTATGCAAAATCATTTTGTAATAGATTTCTACAGAAGATTACTTTTATCTAGGACAAGTATGAAAGTCCATTATGTTTACAAATCCGAGAAGTCAAGTGTTTAAAAACAAAACCCCCATCAAGGTAGATCACAGGAGAGGGCTTTTAGAATCTGTCACTGTTTCCTATACCAAGGGCAGACCTCCTCCTAGGCAACACACATCACAGTTCTGTCTTTCATAATGGGCAACTATATTTATGAACAGAATTTCAGCTTTAGGCTGAGTATGGTGGTATATGCCTTTAATCACAGCACTTAGGAGGCAGAGGTAGGTGGATCTCTGGGAGTTTGAGACCAATGTGGTTTCTATAAAGAGTTCCAGGCCATCGAGGGCTACAGAGACCCTGTCTCAAAACAAACAAAAAACCTAGAACTTCAACTCTGATCTTGTGGGAGAAGGACCTGTATCTAACTTGGTCCATATCCTATATATGAGGAAGGCAGGTGCTATGAACTAAACTGTATCCTCTCCCATGATCTACTAAAGCCCTCACATCAATGTAATAGAGAGAAGCCAGACCTTTAGTATGTAATTAGGTTTAAGTAAGGTGTACATGATGGAATTAGTGCCCTTGTGAGAAGAAACATCAGAGAACTCTACACACTCTGCCCTATCCCTATCCAAGCAAGATGATAGCTGTCTGCAAGTCAAGAAGAAAGCCCTTACTAAGCATCATGATCTTGGACTTCTAGCCCTCAGAACTTAGTGTTTGAACCACAAAATATTTTTTATGGGAATTCAAATGGACAAAGAGAGCAAGACATATATGGTTTTCTTTGAAACATGATCTCCCTGTAACCTCAGCTAGCCTGGATCTCAGAGATCCACCTGCTTCTGTTTCCTGAGGGCTGAGATGAGCCACCCACCCTGCAAGCCAGACATATTTTTAATAGTCATTTTCTAAATGAAGAAACTGAAGCACAGTAATATTAGGTGACCAGAAGGTGATATGTACAAAGACATTTTATGATCTCTACCCAATGCAGACGAATGGTAAAGTGAAACACTTTATCCCAGGAATTACTGTACTAGAATCAGTGGCTTCTCACATTTGTCCAAACAATAGTACCAGGAGTCCTGACTAGGAATCTCATTAGCTTGTTAACTTCTGCAAAGGAAAACAGTTTTTCCTCTTAACTGCCCTCATCCTTTTGACACTAGCCTTGATTAAGAGGAGTAATGACGTGACACAGTACCACAATTTGTTTTCAAAAGTACCCTACTTTCTCTTCCTAACTCT